ATAGCCGGCGGCCCGGGGCTGTAACCGGAGAGCGCTCGGCCGGCTGGGCCTCCTCCTCCCGGACCCTCCCGCGGGCCGGGCGCGGGGCTGGGAGCCCTCCTTGCAGCCCCCAGGTCCTGGGCGGGAACCCCGTTTCCAGAAGGGCAGCTGCGGCCAGAGGGGCTGCGGGGAGGCCCAGGCCCAGGGGGTGCAAATGCAGAAACCTGGGCGGCTGCCCCTTCCCCCGATGAGCGGGGACCCAGAGAACTAGCTCTGCGCCCTGGGGTGCTGAGCGGGGCCCTGGACCCCACGGGTGGGGCCTGGCAAGCGCTGCTGCCCCCCAGCCTTTCCAGCTGCCCAGGCAGAGCAGAGGCCTGGCCGCGGGCAGAAGCAGGGGTGCTTCTGTGCCTGAGGAAAACGGCCCATCTGGTGTGGGGGGCGCAGTCCTTCCAGAGGAGAGCACGGGGTGCCGGCGCCGGGGAGGGGGGCCGGGAGCCTGAAGGTGGGCATCCTCAGCCAGGGACTCCAGCGCAGTTGGGAGGCCGGGTGCTGGACGGCTGCAGCTGCTCAGGAGACAGGTGCCCTGGAGCCGGCCCAGGCACCGGGGTCTGTGGATGCGGGGGTGTGGGCCTGCCAGGGAGTCTTCCGGGACGCCGGGGTGGCGGTCACTTCCCGGAGGGGTGTGGGGGTGCCCTCCCTGTTCTCCTGGAGCCCCTTCTCAGCCCCTTCTGCTGAGCCTGCCCGGGCCCCTCGGGCACCTCGGGGTTGCAGTGCAGGAGCCTGCATTTGCCGCGGACACACTCCCTCCCCGCCTGGGCCTCCGCATCCCCTCTGGGGGCCGGGCTCCTGCTTGGTTCACTCACCATCTCAGGCCCGGACCCTGTGCCTGGCGCCCTGTCCTGGGGCACTGCAGGGAGGCCGGGCTGGGGGGACAGCGGGGCCCCGGCAGGCAGGGAATGGAGAGGCCTTGGCCAGGCTGAGGGCAGGGGCACAAAGGCCCACAGTGGCGGCGACCGCGAAGGGCGTTACCAGCTGTGGCTGCAGCAGGGTTGGCTGCGGGCTGGGCGTCGCTTGGCGGGTGCGTGGTGAGCTGGGGCCTGTGCAGACCTCAGGGTGGGGATCCCCCTGGAAGAGCAGCCCCGGGGTTGCCTTTGTCCCCGTCGGGGTGTGATTTGCGGCTGGCGGCGGGTTTCACCGCAGTATCAGAGCTTCCTGAGAGTGGGCTCTGGCCTGGAGGGTGCCCTGGGAGTGTGCGTGGGTCTCCAGCAGGGCAGATTCCTCGAGGGTCCTGGGTCCTCCCCACGAGCCCGGGAGCAGCAGGGAGAGCAGTCACCGTGGGAGAGCGCTCCAGAGCCCAAGGAAGGGCTCCCCCAAAGGCGGGGCTGGCTTTGAGGGGACCTGGTGGAGAGGAGAGTGCAGGACACGCTGGCAGGGCCTTGAGGGGGATTAGGGGAGTGGGAGACAGGCTCTGTCCCCTCTGGGCTGCTGTCCACTGTGGAAATCTTACAGCCCGGCCCCCACTGCGCTCCATCCAGCCCCCACCCTGCCCCGAAGACCAGCTCCCTCAGGTGGACTCCTGGGAGGGGAGCAGGTCCGAGGTCTTGAGGACCCCACAGCGAAGACCCCCCAGGCCCTGGGTGAGGCGGAGAGGGGAGCCCGTGAAGGAGAGGAGGTCAAGGGCACCCCTGCCTCCTTGTGGCAGAAGGTCTAGGACTCTTATTTTTAAAAGCTGTTGTTTGTTCCTGAGGGCCCACGGGGACAGTTAAGAGCCACCAGGGGCGTGGCGGGCTCGAAGGGCACCTTGTCACCCCGCACCCTCTCCGACCAGGAGCCCTTCCTAGAGTGAGGTCTAGTCGGGGAAGAGGGAAAACACCTTTGATAAGAGAAGTGATACATCTTCGCATCGGGCAGCAGCGCTCCAGCTGGTCTGTGTCCCCGGGTCTCAGGCTCTGTCCCAGACAGAGTTCATGTCTGGGTCCCCTCTCTGGTCCCGTCCACATCTGGTGGCCCTGGGCAGCCTCTCTCTTCCTCCACGTTGAGGCTCAAGGTGGTGGGAGGGGCATGGTGTGTGCCCGCAGGAGGGTGCCGCCTGGGGATAGGGCCTCCAGAGGCACTACAGCCCCCCGCACTTGGGGACTCCCTCTTTACCTGTCTTGTGCAGGTCCCCTGGGGGCTTCGTTCGGCCCAGAAAAGCCTCATGGAGGGACCCTGAGTCCTAGAGCCCGTGGGGCCTCTGGGGCTATTACAGGCAGAGTGCTGACACCAACCCTGCTGCCCCGTGGCCGGCGGCCGAGTCAGCCCCTGCTGCACACTGATGTGGGCATCCGTCTGTGTCCCCCTAGGTCGGCCCTGAGGGCAGGGATCCCCCAGAGCAGCATCACCCCTCTCGGGCAGCCTGGCAGGGTTGGGACTTGCCGGGTGAGGGGCTGGGAGCCCAGCTGCTCTTGGCAGCACCTCAGGCACAGGACCCTCCCCATGTGGTTGTCAGCTCTGTGAGGTGGCTGTTTCCCTAGAGGCAAGGGTCCTGGTTGGTGGTGATGGGGAGGGTCCCCCCAGTCTCATCTCCTGGCCTTGGATTCCTGGTGTCCCATAGGAATGGGTGTGATGTCTGCGTCTGGGCAGGGCAGGCAGCCTGTGGACAGGGGTGGGTGGCAGCCAGCCCCCCGTCCCCGTGGAGCCCTTGCAGGAGCCTGGGAATCAGAGCCCCTCAGCTCAGCTCCTAGCTGTTCCCGTGGACCCCGCAATCTGGACCAGTGCTCGTCGGGCTCCCATGGTGACCCCTGCCAGGGTACACAGAGGTGGGTGGGGGGTGGGAGCCGGGCACCCGGAGCTTGCATACTCCCGGATGCCTGTGTGAGCCCACCGGCCCTCCACACGCCCAGGTGCCCACCCCGAGTATGGGTCCTTCCTGAGTCAGCGGGTGAACGGTCCGGGCCTGCGCGTCGGTCGGGCGCCTCCTGGCTGCAGCCTGAGGCACCCGCAGACCGGACTGGTCAGTGGCCCCCCGGCCCCAGCTGCTTAGCGGCTGCCCCTTGCCCCAGGCCGCCTGCACCACCAGCCGGAGCCCCTCTCCTGAAGACACTGCCTCAAGGTCACTGTGACCTCTTAGGGCTAAATCCAGCTGCTGCTCCTCGCCTCCATCCCGGCTCCTCTGCGTCCACGTGGGTGTGGACCTCCATCTCCAGCCGGCTTCCGCCTCTGGTCCGTGCTGTGGTGTCCCCCCCAGAGCCTGGAGGTTCTCCTCTTCCCAGACACCCTCCCACCCCGCGGCTGTAAACGCCTTGCAGTGCTCATGACTCCACGGTTATTTTTACATTCAGCTGCCTGCTGCTCGCCGCCCGCCGTCCTATAGGCCTCTCGGGTTCACGTGTCAGGACAGCACCCCAACCCTGGCCCCTCCCCACCTGGTTCCAGCATCCCTTCCCTCTTCCTTCCCTCGTCCTGCCTCCAAGAGGTCCTGTGAGTTAGGCTCCCCCCGCCCAGGCCAGCAGCACCTGGCTCCTGAACAGCTGCAGGGGGGAGGCCTCCGCTGTCACCAGCATCCCTCCTCCACTCGCAGCCAGGCCAGGCCCCTTCGCTCAGAGCCCTCAGGGCTTCCAGGGGCCTTGGAATGAGGCTCTTGCCTGGCTCTCCAGGCCTACTTGACCTAAACACCTGACCTGGGACCACTCTTCCCCTCCCCCTTCTACTGGCCCAGCCCTCTGGGTCCCTGCCTCTGGGCCTTTGCACTGGCTGTTCCCTCTAGCATGATGCTGTTCCCTGTGGGGCTGCTGGGCCGGCTCCTTACATCACTCGGAAGTTGAAGTCTGTTCTCTGACCCTGGGCTCAGGGGCACCGCCGCTCACTGTCACCAGTGCCTGTCCCTGTCCCCCGAATTACTCTTCCTCAAGGTTTCCCCTCTGTTGTCTGCTTCAGTGTCTGATTTCTGGGCTCTGTCCCCTGGGTTCCTGACTGGAAACCCCCCTTTCCCCACCGCCTATTCCTGGAGCAGCGTTGCCCTAAACAGCCTCTGCTCCCTCAGAAGGGGTTTTTAAAAATAGGGTCCATTTATTGCCCGAAGTGATGGGGAGAGGACAGGGGTTGGAAAAGCTGTGGACACAGGACCCCCTGGGCCCCCTCCCCTCCCCTGCCTCTAACGGAGCCGCCCTGCAGGGGGTGGGCGCTGAGTGGGGGGCGAATGTCAGCTGCTCCAGTGACCGGCTGCCCTGGGTCAGCCCTACCCAGCCTGGCCCTCTCCCTGCTTCATTCATATTTAAAATCAAGGTCAGTGCCTTAGCCACTGGGCTGGTTTCCGGGGGCAAGAGTAACAAATGGCCACACGCTGGGGACTGAAAACCACAGACACTTATCTCTACAGTCCAGAGTCCTGAGTCAGGTGTCGCAGGGCCCGTTCTCTCGCTGAGTCGCTGGGGGAGACTCCGGGCGGCTCCCGTGGCCCCGGGCTGGTGGCCGCATCTCTCCATGGCCCATTTTCACGTGGCCTCTCCCCGCAGGTCTCTCTTCTTCCATCTCTGATAAGGACAGTTCCCTGGGCTTANGACTCCGGGCGGCTCCCGTGGCCCCGGGCTGGTGGCCGCATCTCTCCATGGCCCATTTTCACGTGGCCTCTCCCCGCAGGTCTCTCTTCTTCCATCTCTGATAAGGACAGTTCCCTGGGGCCCCCAGCCCCCGATCCAGGGTGAGCTCATTCTGAGATCCTTCAGTCTGTCTGCAAAGACCTTTTTCCAAATAAGGTCATATTTCAGGGTCTGGGGGTCAGGATGTGGAAGGGCCTTTTGGGGGCCCCCATTCAGCCCACTGCAGACAGAGACGGGTGCGGGTGCGGGTGGCTTCTCCTTACAGAGCAGGTGTGAGGGGCCCTTGGGACTCGGCCAGGGTCCAGAGGCTGGGGCAGCCCAGGGACGAAGGTCTCAGGGACACAGGCCCCCAGGCCCCCAAACCGGGCGTGCAGTGCGGCACCCGGGATGGGGCTGCTCGGCAGCAGGGGGTGTTCGGAAGGCGTGGGGGGCTCTGCGCCAGCGCGGTGGCCGTCGTAGCGACTGGAACCTACACAGGGGGTCGGCAGACCACCGCCCCCAGCCGCCCCCACCCCCTGCTTGAGCCTGTGACTGAGACTTACCGGAACCCGGCCTTTCACTTGCGGTTGTCAGCTGCTTTCACAGTGAGGTAGTTAATCCTCACAGGAAGGTTTGCTAGCTCTGCCCTTGGCTGTATTACTGGGAGCGTAACTCGTAGAGCCAAGGAGGTGACAGTTACGCTCTGCCATGCCGGGCAGGTGATGGCTTTTCCTTTGATGGCCCCCCCACCCTCTTTTGTGCCAGGCTCTGGGGCTGTCCCTGTGCAGAGTGGAAGTGGGCCGCGCCCCGCCTTCAAGAGTTCACCTTTGGGTGGGAGGGGGGACAGCAAGTTGACAGGGACAGACAGCCCGGCAGGACACCTGACCCGAGGGATGCGGGGCCT